ATTGTATTCTAATACAATATCAACGGACGGGATTCATATTTATTAATCAAATTAAAAAATTGACAAACAATCACTCCAATTGTCTGGTATACAAGCTAGGAAACCCTGTATTGAGGAATCTGGCGACAAATCTCTGAGGGTACAACCCAGAACACCCAGATCTGAGCCAATTATGAAAAGTTCGTTTCTTAAATTTTAAAATCAAGTCTCATGTTTGCACAGCAAAGAATACAGGTTATAATTTAATGTATTGGCCATTAGAGGTTCTTCTTATATTAGGTGGTTCGTGAGTGTGACCGCTGCTAGATATTCCTATAAGATTCAGATCATTGTCAACATGGATATAAGCTGAGCAAGTTTTAGACATTGTACAAGCCCATCGCCAAGCCTGTCTTCTTCTCACAGGAATCCTTCTGTAATATGTATACCCTCTAACTAGATACATGCTTTTTCCACTCACGAACTGTATCATTCGTCCTGAAAATTAACATTATTATATGTTATAAGAAATACAATAATATGCAAATGACCGTGGCTCTGAATGTCCTCTCTGAGAGACATCCTAGATAGGATATTCAGTGGCACAGTCAGAGGGATTTGTCTAGTACTATCATAGTGGAAAACGTTATATTTGATAAGCCCCTAATTCTCCAAAATAATAATATTAAATAGGGATTGTATTAAAATCCAAGATGGCAGAGAGCGAGTCTACCGCCAGCACCCGGATTACTTTGTTAACATTTTTTCCCATCAGGATTACATGATAATCAAAAGTTTTTATTAACAAATTTTGGTCTCAACCAAGTTCAAACTTACTACCTCTGAAGTCTATAAATTGGAGCAATTTACCAGCATATCACAATTCTTTCAATATGTTAGGCCATGGAATAAAAAATGTCCCATCATATTTTACAATTACTAGGAATGACCGACTAGCAGATTACAAGCCCGATGCCGTAACCGTCATACCTTATAACATGAACAATACCATAGAAATTACCACAACGACGATTACTCATTGTACCTTGCATTGCACTAAAAGAGCTTATTTTTTTTTTTTATTGTACACAAACATAATGTGAGATTTCTTCCAGCAAACCTTTTCAAGTGAATTGAATTGTTAAATCAAAATAAAAATATTTACTTGAGCTCTGATTAAGTTATAAGAAAAACTTTTGTTGATTGATAAACACTGCATTACAGGTGGTTATATCATAAGGATTTGGACTCCAAAATAGGTTAGGTGTCATTGAAATAGCTTTTGTAGTTTTTGATTCAGAAATCAAATACTTAAGGCTAATATAATAAATAATTTATTAATTCTATTTTATATTTACAAAAGCATTTGTGTTATTCTTATTCTATACGGTAGTATCATCATCATCATTCTATATGGTAGTATATTTTCCATTAAATAACTTATAGTATTTCTTGGGTACATGATCATGGTTAAAATTCCCTCCAATTATTCGATAATCGTCGGTAACGCGGACAAAAGCTTTGCAATACGTTTTATTACAGCTCCATCGTGACGTTGCACCATCTTTCCGTTCGTGTTTCTTGTAATAAGGATAATTATTGACGAGTAGTAGCTTCTTTCCTTGAATTAATTCGATCAACTCACCAGTTATATGTACAGAAGAACCTGTAATAGCCCAAAGCTTTTGAGTTTAAACAATCCAATTTCAATACAGATTTCTAATTTCAGAAAATAGTTAACAAGCGGGGGCCTACCTCGTCGATTCAAAACCTGGTAAGAGAGGCACGCTGTATGTGTTCTTATTCGCCTTTAGGAAGCAAAGGATGGGGGAAAAGTCTTCCTCCATGTAAGAAAAAGTTAGATTTTATGCCACTGTCGCTGAGATTGCGGTAAAACGCGAAACCGAATCCATGGCCTCGACATATTTGAGAAGAGGAAGCAAGTATGGAACAGGCTGTGGTTTGTGCAGTGAATGAAGAGAGAAACCCAACAGTACCATTCGTCTCTTCGAGTGAAATGAATGAGTCAACATGACATTTCCTTTTTTAACAAATTGAAACTTACCTGACAGAAAAGTGTAACCGTCGCCAATAGACGAGAACATAACGGACTATTATACCACTACGATCTTGCTATCCCTCTTAAGAATTTTGAGCTACTTAAGTACTAGCTTCTGCCTGCGACTTTGTTCGCGTGCCTGGATGTGTTCACTTGGATAAAAGTTGTCTATGTCCTTCTCCACCCTCCATAATACACTAGTGATTCAATCCGACTTAGCATGGATAAATAGAATTATCGAAACTAATATACAACCTATGCTATTCGCTGGTAATGTAGCTTTCTAGGTGAAATATTTTTTTTTTTAAATTCGTCGAGTAGTTTTTGAGTTCATCCATTACAAACAATCAAATTTTTCCTCTTTGTAATATTAGTAAAGATATATGTGATTGTTTAAGCCGTTAAGACACTAATTACATTTATAATACTAGTAAGGATTCAGTATATTAGAATTATAAAGTTATAAACAGATCTATATAGAATAATAGATACAGAAACCTAATAAGGATTCTTATACTAATAGTTTTCTTATGAATCTGTTAATAAAACATGAACTCTAAACAAAAATATTTATTAACTTATTTTTTGAAACATTGACCACAGCTACTGGCCCTTATGTTTCTTTTTTTATTTCCCATTGCTAATTCTCACGTATTTACCACAGTGAGATTGATAAAACGCAAATGGCGTGTGATTATGTTCTTTTTTCTGTTCTATAAAATTTATATTTGCATCGGCATGGATATACGCCACACATTTACTTCTGGTACAACTCCACCGGTCTACCGTCTTTAAAACCACGTTTTTGTAAAACGGATATCCTTTATATAACAATAATTGCTTCCCACTTATCAATTGTATAAGCTTGCCATCGTTTCCTGTGAATCCTAAAATATATTCTTGCGTTTAATATTTCAATTTGGAACATGGAATTGTGTCTACTTTTAGATACGATGACGTCGACAGCCATTATCAAGGCCAAGATGAGTTTGGACCTCACACATTGCAGAGCAAGGGCGCACAATTCTCCATTCACTACGCCAATATTATCTGAACATATAAATATTGTAAAGAGGAAAGACTTGATTTTTTTGTTTGTAATGAATACACTCAAAAAATAATTAACAGATTTAAAAAAAATATATTTATGCATCTTGTAATTAATACATTATTATAATAAATGAGATAATAATCTTGGTTCTTGCTTTTGTTTTCTAATGCGACAACGTTAATAATACCTGTATATTTAATATTACACAGCATTCAAATTCGAACTTCTCCTTTGAATAATGAAAATTTTTCACCTAAAAAGCTACTGCATTACTAAGTAATATAGATTGTATTTTATTAAAAAAAAAAGATCCTCCAATATACCCGTGCAAAGCCGGGGTAGGTTGTTAATTTGCCAATGATAGTTTAGAAAAACAATCCAATAGTTTCCGATATATCGTTTATGACATTAAAATATAATTATGTATTATATTTGTAGAATTTAATGTATACGTGAATATAACATACAATTTGATAAATATTTAAGTGGCAAAAATCATCATAAAGTGAAATTAATAAACCAATAATTTCTTTGTAATTAAAAAGCTAAGCAAGAGGAAGAGAGAGAGGGAAAGAGAGTTCATTAATTCAACCCAGAATTACTTAGTTCTTTATGAAAGATAAAATATTTTTAAAGAAATAAAAAAAGGAATATACAATAATCCTTATTTAAGTTTAATAATGAGATGCATGTTTGTTTGATAACTCTAAGCGTCATACGCAGCATTTGGAATGGAAAATATAGGCTACATTTTACAGTTACACAGACTAAGTCATTTACAAATAAATAATCATACAGTCATTTATAAATAAATAATCACTGGAATCAAGTTTATCCAATCTAATTTTCAATGTATTAAATGATACAACAACTTGGATGGAAACAGATATTTCGAATTTGAACGCTATTAATTTTACATTAGGTCATATAATAAAAACAGTTCAACATTTATTATCATTTTATTCCTTTTATAGATAAAACATATATTTATAGCAAGAAAGTCATTCAGTCGAATAGCAAAAAATAATAGCAACAATGTTAAGCATATATCTGTAACAGATAACGATGAATCAAATTAGAAATTAAAGCATATTTTCCATGAAAGAATACAACTATATTGAATAAAACTATAGAATAAAACTATATTGCTTTTTATTTCTTCCAAGTCACTTTTTACAATTTAATATGAAATAGCAACAGAATTCTTATTTTTTCTCACGACTGCTAATACATCAGTTTCAACTGTTTAACCTTTTCTTTCTCTATTTCACATGACTTAATCTTACGTATTTACCAGATTGAGATCTATAAAAGACAGTCGGGGAATGGTTATGTTCATTCTTTTCCATCGTAATAAATAGATTTCCATCAGCGTGAATGTACGCCGGACATTTATTTCTGGTACAACTCCATCGGTTTACGGACCGCAGAACAGTTTTTTTGTAGAAGGGATAATCTTTAAATAGTAACAATTGTTTCCCATCTAGTAACTCTATGAGTTTACCTCTACGTTCCATGTGACCTGAAAGATATCATTCCTTTTACGATGTCTATAGAGTCATTAGAAAAATCTTAATGTAGAAGTTCTTTTAATACTAAAGCATATTTTTTTAATACCGAAGAAACAATACGAAATACAATTAAATAAAGTAAAGAAATGCTATATAATTGCGTATCAGAATGTTTCTCGTGTTCGATTCATAGGAAGAGCAATTTATATAAACTGACTCAAATCTGGGCGTAACAACGAACGCCATTACCTTAACCCAGGACAGGATAGGTTGTGAAGACCTGGTAATGAATGAGTGGTAGTTATTATTATTAAAATAAAAATAATTCAGTCTAAATTGAATATTTATCAACATTCTCAAAATCGGCACCAATTTTAGATATATGATTAATTTAACAACAGACATAGTATAACGATTTAATTTAACAACAAATTTAACAACATCAAATAATTTGAACAAATATTTTTTTTTAATCTAAATAATAGGTATTTCTCAACTCTTTCACTCACTAGTGAGAGTGTCTCACTAGTTGCATTCTATGTCTTCCCCCACGTAAATTCACTGTGCATTTTCTTCTCTTTTCTAGAAGAAAGAAGTTATACCATAAACAGTAAGGTATAATAACCTGTTTTGATCTATGCTCTAGTTTGTATAGCAAATTTCCAAACATCACATATAAACTTTCACAATTATAACATTAACAGAACAATATATGCGACAAATCTTTCCAACTCCTATAATCTAACATACTTCCCCGTAGCCAACCTTCTAAATATAGTAGGACGATGATTATGTTCGTGTTTCTGCATAAGAACTTCAAAATCTTCACCGACATGAAGATATGTCGTACAGTCGGATCTAGTACAGCACCAGCGCTCAGCAAATCCAGAATATTTCGCTAGTGTCGCTTTCTTATAAAATGGATAACCGTTTACAATTAGTAACTGTTTTCCATTGACAAGTTCTATAAGTTCACCAGTTTCATTTCCGTTCAAATCTGTAACGTATGCTTTGTAATATAAGGTCCAAATGTAATAAACGGATTACCTCATAAAATTGTCTTAGAGCATCTTTAATTATTTTTTGCTATATAGATGAAAATAATTGATAAATTGTCATTACGTAAATAAGTAACATTAGGTAATCTAAATAATAACAAGTCCAATTATGCATATATTTTAATAAATCAGCAAATCATAAGAAATAATAAAAATAATGATATAACTAATGTAAAATGTCATGCACACGTTAAACCTAAAAGATAAGCTGCTTATTCAAGACGCTGCCTGATATGAAGACAAAAATACGAAGATAGCTTGTTTGTTTGCTTGTATAAGCTTACATTTGAAACAAGAAAAACTGGTTACATAGAAAACAAAAGTAAACATGCAAACTTATCGCTTAGAAGGATTTCTTTATACTTCGATATATTGGTAACAAAATATACCAGAACTGCAAACGCAGGCGTCGTCTCAATACATTTATAATCTAAAACACAGTCCACTCAAATATGTAGTCATATTTGACAACGAGATCCAATATATGAGATACAATATTTATCACAAAAAGCATGCAGTCTTATAATATAGTATTAGCTCCAAAAATATATGTAGAGAATCACACAATAATACTGGGTACGTTGCTAAATGCAGTTTTTATATCACACAAATTTAAACACTACTGAGAGTTTCCTATCGTTAACATTATTACATGTATAAAACTTATACTAACAAGGACACGTACTACGCTAAGGCACTTTTTTTAATTTAAAAACTATGAAAATGTATTATGTTTTTGAATAATTTAAAAACATATTAAAGTTTGCAGTAATTAATTTAGAAACTTACATTCAGTCACATAATTAAAAAATTAATAATGATTAGGATTTTTCAATATTTTTGTTAATTCAAATTACAAAAAAAAAAAAGAACAAACATTGATAATGTTTTCAGTAAAGTTTTTCATTCTTTTCCATACAACATTGTGTAGTACGAGTAGTAACAAAAATGTTTAAACTGATTTTTATTGAAATCCTCAATACAACATACATATTTCCCTTTTTCATTATAGCACGACATGTGATCACACCATCGTAAACGAACACAGAGACAACATGGCCCATGAATATGAACAACCGAAAAAAGAAATTATTTAGTCTTAACGGTTAACCGCACTTCGCCGGATTATTATTTACTTTTTCAGGCTACGTTTGAAGAATCCGAGGATGAAGGAAACATGTTACGGTAAAGACCAAGTAATTCATTTAACGTCATCCGACCATCCTGTTCATGTTGAAATGAAATTTGGAAAAAATATTATATTGAAACTAAAATTCATTTTAACAAATAATTTGATAAATAACCTAGAAGGGAAGTTTTATATGAAAAAAATAAACGGCAATAGATAATGAGAATAATATAAAAATTCTCTCAACTATAAAACTATATTCTACTCGATATTGTAGTTCATCATTACACTTTTTATTCAATGAAATTGCGACATTTTTTTCTATTCAAACTGTTTTTTTTTTTTTTTTAGTTAAGTTTCGCAAATTATTCCTATTGTAGTGTACTTGTACAATCTATCTTCCAAACACCACTGTCTATCATAAGCGTTCTTTTCTATTACACCGATATTTTTTAAAATGTATTACGTTACTGTCCTAATCTCACAAATCCTACATACTAATAAAGTATAAATGATACAAAATACAATTTGAAGTAATGCGAACTAAATTACTCATTTCTAAAAACGCTATGAGCTACCAAATAGTCGTGTAAAGGAGAATGGTAACTTCCATCAAAAGAGTCATGTATGAGACCTGCTCCATTTTGTTTGACGACGTTAAACATATTGTTAACAGGTAAATGAAAATTTGGTTTCCCTTTTAAATTGTGTTTGTTGGGAGGATGGCTGTGGGCGACGTTAGCTTTAAGAACCTCCAATTTATCCGTGAGGATGAGATGAGCCTTACACTTCCATTTAGAACCATAAGCAGTGCAACTCCAACGATGAGCATTGGACCTCGCTTTCAAATGTTTGTAGAATGTAAAGTTATTTAAGCGAAGATTGATGCGACCATTGGGGCGTAAGTAAAACTCGGCTGTGAAAAAAAAGCATGAGAATTAATAAAAATACACGAATTTATTTTATACCAAACTCACGTTACGTCAAACTTAAATTTAACTGTCATGCAGGAGGATACTACATTCATTTTTAAGATTATCGGATATTAAAAATTAAGGATACGTATTATTTTCAAATAAGAATAACAACATTTTAAAAGTAATTTTAATTAAAAATAAAAACAATGTAAACCAAATATAATTCGAGTTGAAAATACTATTATTTTAATCAATACTGTAAAATATTGGGCAAGCCATAATACTTTTTCTAAAGTATAAATTTAACTGCTTCACTTAAATTATTACATATTGCAGATAATTATAGTAACTTATTGCCTAATAATAATTTCTAATAATACATATTTAAAGGATTTCCATTATATACATTCCTGTAAGGGATATGTGAACGATTATTCTTTTCAGACTACGTTAAAATTAAGATTAATAAAAATATGAATCAATAAATAAAGGAAATAACTGATTGCACTTGCAATTACAAACAAGTTTATAAAAATTGTATAAACGAAGTAAATAAGTTTGAAAAAAATTTCATTATAAATGTTATAACATAATTAAAGCATAACAATGATAAGTTTAAAATGAAATATATGCATAATCTATTAAAAATAGCTTATCCAAAATTAACAATTATAAAGGAAAAATAAAAATATCAAGGATGAGAAAGAGAGCAAGCTGATAAATGACACAAAAAAGATAATGACAAAAAGTATAGTGGAGGTCCGTAAAATCTAAAAAATTAATTTAATGAAAATAAAAAGCAAATATATTTTAATAGATAGCATATACATTCCTACTATATATTTAGAATAATGTGCGCATATACATTTACATACATAATTTTGAATTATCTATAATAAAATATATCATGTCTAGTATTAAGGCATAATGTCTTATTTCTAATTCCGAAGTGCTACTGTGCAAATTTGTCAAACTCATCAAAAAGCCAAATGTCAAATACTCATATCTAAGAATTTGTAAAAAAATAAATAAATACTTTTTTGTATTCATTAAATTTTATACGAAAAAAATAAATGTTTGAAATGTCTAACGTGACTATTTATTATTTGACTCAAAATACAACATTGGTTTATTTAATTCAATTAACAGGTAGTTAATGAAAAAAAAAACGCTTTCAAAGTTATTTATTCAGAAAGGGTTAGCTTAAAAGTTACGAATTAAAAAATATACCCCATAAATATAAATATAACTAAACATTTTGTTTAGTTATATTAATCGGAGGAACAAATTTGTTTTAATATAACTGGTGAAGACTTTAAGTAAGAATATAAACTCTTGGCACGTTTATTTTTATATTCACCTTAATTATCAACATCGCCTTTAATCAATCACATTTTTACGCAGTTTTCGAAAACGGATCTATTTTGCGTCCCAGAGTTCATTTCGGGGATACAGGGACTTATAAAATGGGAAAGCCCCGTTCAAAACGGGACATCTGGTCACGTTAGGTATATCTAATACAAATGTACACGTGTCTATGAATTAAAATTTATGGACTTTATATCCAAAGATTTCGTATACGAGTCAGATCTATAGGACAGAATCGAGTAACGATTTGATTGTTAACACATTATATGTAATGTCTTTACTTGTAGATTCGATCACGCTGTGATAGGAAATATTGATGATAACAGCTTTTTTAAAGGTGTATTACTGTGAGTTATATTTGACGACTATAAACACAAAATATGGTAATTTAAAATATTTGACTATGGCCTTCTTTGATGAGCTTTTAATTACATGACTTCCAGCCATAACTTTAATACACTTGTTATAAGAACATAACTAATCGATTTTTGCTGTATTAATTGTAGGTATGTGCTGTTATTCGATTTCAATAACACAATGGAAATATTTTTATATATTCCGTTTCAATGATTCGATAACAGGTAAATAAATTAATACGTCTAATTGAATTTCTTTTATATACATATACATCATACTAGGTACGTATACCTATATGCCTCTGATACGTAATCCAATTTTATTTTATTCCATTTTAATGTTTTTTGTAAATTTATTATCAACCGCCCATGTTTCCTTGTACGCTTGTTATTTTCATAGCCGAGAATGGATTACTGACTTCTTTATTTTTACGTGTTTTCTTTATCTGAAATAAAATATATAAGTAAAATTAGACTGAAGCCTTATATATCTGTAATCATAAGAAATCTATATCTATTGTATGATAATAAATTTAAGTTAAATAGAATAAAAAAGTAAAATTTTTCATTTGCAAAAATTAAATCTTTAAGTTCACGGCCTGATATTAAAACCATTTATTGATATAGCGTTGATATAGTACTACCTTCTATATATGTTTGTAGTATTCTTAAACTTGGAAATATTAGCTTTGGAATATTACCTATTACACCACATAAATAATCAAAGCGAGATAGTTGAAGACAGGAAATAAACACTTACGTTTTCCAGGAAGTAAGACGCTGGTGAATGAGTATGTTCCGTTTTCGCTCTTACCACCAGCATATCGTTTGTGACGTGGAGGAAACCTCTGCACGACCTGGAGCCCATCTGGGTGCAGCTCCAACGGTAACCGTCACGGAGGAGTTTATGCTGGTAGTAAGTGTACCCATCCAGCATCAAAAGGTCTTTTCCATTGCGACCCTTCACCATCAATACTGAAAATTGACTGTAGTGTTAGTGTACCGTGTTATAATTAGTTACAGATATTATATACATGATAATTATATTAAAAATTAATAAATTCAGGTAGCAAACACAGTAACTCTATGTTACTAGATATATATAATAAGAATAGAGACAGGTTAATTATTGATTTCCAATCATTAATTTAAGGAGCAAATATGTTTACGCTAAACAAGGAGATGTGATAAACAAAAAAGCACCCGTTTAAACCTTTGGGTACTTTAATATTGATATATTTTGAATGTTTTCTGTAAATATTTTTATTGATCTTAGCTCAATAGATATACCTTACATCATTATTCATAACATTGCCATGTTTGATAATAAAAAAGACATAGCATTAAATGCTAAACATAAACTTTGCAATACTATTAAAAATATCTTTACCACACCTGCTAGTAAACGCAATGTAACTTCATTAGGTAGAACACCATTATTCAAACTTTAAAACATAAACCAATGAATATAGACGACATTAGAATAACACAACTGTACTAATGAAACATACTTATAACAATTAAAACAGTAGAAATAGATATTTTAATTAAAACTGTAATATATATTCAAATATATTAAAATATATTTTTGTTGGAAACTCTCTAACACTTATATCAAAAAGAGAACAAACATATGGTCGTTTTAGTGGTCTTCATAATAAAATTCAGATTCTGTCTGGTGGACGTCAGCATAAATTTATGCTGTTACTTTAAGATAAGCACCGCTTTTTAATTGTGTATACGTAGTAGGCTCATGTGTATGATCTTCATTCAATGTAACTATATTCCCATTTGGACCGACGACTATAAACGCCTTACATTTCATCGAAGTTTTTCTTGTACACCTGCATCGTATTCCGCGTCGCAGCAAAGTCTTTGAAGTACAAAAATTTATTGTACACCGCCAATACGTTGCCTTTGAAAGTTTTTATATATTTCACTGAAATTGAATTTAATAATAGATTGAAATGTTTCTCTTCCAAGAATCTCGATTTAAATCCACATCTCTCAGCTATTTCTTCTTAAGATCGAGGCTTATTTAGATATCCGAAATGTTTATATGAATTAAAAGATTAGGTAAAACTTTTTTTAAATATTTTCAAATATTGTTGAATTAATTTTACTTCAACTTATACAAGCTACAATATGCAAAATTGAATAAAAAGATCTTAATGTATATTTAATACAAAAATTAAAAAATATTGTTATTAAGAGTTTATTCTCTACCTTTGATGACATCCTATGAGATATGTCCTACATATCAATGTAAATACTGTTTTTAACATAGATTTATAAACGAATTTATCATTTATACAAAAGTCTCTTCAATATGAATTCAGTTTCTGGTTTCATATTAAAGTTAATTAGGCATCCTTTTTCAAGGGTTTCTTTAGCTTAAGCTGTTCGATCATACACAATGGATAATATAAATGTTAGGTGATGTCCATTTCTATAGCTCTAAAACTGAATTTTTTAAACTGTTGATAATGACCGCCTTATAATCTAATATAAACTCCGTTACTATCCCGGTGATACTTCCACGGTTCATGTGTATGACAAACTTCCTTTTTTATAACAACACCAAACTCGTTAAGAATAACATAGGCATTGCATTTCTTGGAGCAATGCCTGCTGCACTGCCAACGGATGCCTGACTTCAAACGGTAGTGCATAGAATACGTATAGTCGTTGAACATCAGTAAAGTTTTCCCACTGTCTGTGCGAATGAAGCCGGCTACAAATAATATTTTAAATTTACTTTTTAATGCACAAATAGATAAAGGTGCAACATCGATAAATCAGTGGAAAAAGTTAAAACTAAAACTATAATAAGATAGTAAGTACAAGTTGTCTGGCAGAGGTCATTAGAAAAAAAAATTATGAAACTGAAAAAGTGACAGTGCAGAAAGAATTCAAGTTATTTACTAAAATAGCATTGTTTTCAATAAATATTTTTTAAATTATCACCAATATCAAAATGTAGTTCAATACCGACAGTAGACTGCAAGTTAAGGTAAAGGATACACGTCACAAACTCCAGCAACCGTCGTAATGGAAACATGAATTTACTCACTAAAAAAAAAGTATAAAAATCGCGAATTCCTTACATATCTCGGTTTTCCTTTTTTTATAACACAGGTAGCAAATAAGCACGCGGCTCACCTGATGGTAAGTGACTATCGCCGCCCATGAGCACCCGCAATATCGGAGGAATTGTTGAAGAAGTGTGTTGCGGGCCTTTTATTAAAGGAATATGTTTTTTTTTTTTTACTTTTTAAGGTAACTGAAATATGGGAGACCTATGTTTAGCAGTAGAGTTAACGATTGACATGACGGTAATGATGTTTCGTAATTGTTATAAAGCTTTCAAATGCTCGCAAACGAAAAACGACTAGCCTGATGGAAAGATTATCGAAACAATGCCGGTTTATACATATTTTCTCTGTATATCTAAGCTTTGTGTTGTTTTTAAGAACAATATTAAAAGTTTCATTTGATCTTGCGGAAATCCATATCACTGGTTATTTAATTAGGAGTATTTTAATTGACGAATTGATGGCTAACATGGAAGGTTGTGTGCCGTGTGGTCCTGGCATAAAATAGGTCATACCTTCCTTTCCCATGAGTGTCGTAAGAGGCGATTAAGGAAGGGCGAGGAATGGGCAACAGCGTCCCTCTTAAAACATCTCCAAAGCCTAACTGCGATTGCCAATCCGTCTGCCAAGTGGCAGATACTGACAAAATCCCCCAAGGGGAGGCTTATGTTAAGCAGTGGACATTTAAAGCCTGATACGATGATGTGTTTACAAAAGTTAGATTATTTACAAAAATTATTTTTGTTAATATTGAAGTTAAATAGTGTTAAATAAAATAAGTAGTGAGAAAGGAAAATATTGATTATACCCCCCAAGGGGGATGATTATATTCAGCAGTGGACAGTTAAAGGCTGATATGATGGGAGGTTGTAGAACTTTGCAGTAACACACACACTAATGTTAGCGAAAATAAATAAATTTTAACCAATTAGCGTAGAAACAAATTAATATATATTCATAATAATGTAACCTTTAAATTCATAATTAATTAATGTCAATATTTGATTTCTATAACATATGATTTTACGTCAATATTAATTGCTTGTTTGTGTGCAAAGTAAAGAAATTAAATATTATTTATATTAAGTTCACAAATTAAATATACGAAAGTATTATTTTCCATAGCTTTTATTAGACGATTTAATAACAACAGAAAAAAATACTGTAGACATATTACGTAGGTACCTACATTGAATTGATTGATTTACATAGTGTTTGAAAGTTTGTATGTAAAATTAAATTGTTTAATTATAAAGTCATTGTTAAAACTGTTTCATACTTTGCACCGTCGTGCAAAGGCGTTGTACACCATACAGATAAAATATATAAAAAATAATTAAAATGCAGAGCTTCTATTTTGAAACGTTCAGGTCTAAAAAGCGTCTAAATTCTTATATAACTTCCATCACTATCCTGAATCAGCCTCGAAGGTTGATGTGTGTGAGTTTCGTTCCGCCTTACTATCTTAGCGTCATCGCTGACTATTAAAAACGCGCCACATTTCTTCGATGCGTGAACTGAACACTGCCACCTGCGTCCCCCTTGCCTCAGTCGGTAATGTCTGCTGTATGTATAACCGTTTAGCATCACCTGATAACTGCCGTGTTGTGTTCGGATAAAGTTCACTGAAAAGTAATACATCCTATATTCAAAGTAGACTACATAACAAATCTTTATACTTTACGATATATAGCGGTTATCACTAAATTTACTATTAAAAATAATAAATAAATTTGTTGGTCCACCTATTGAACAATTTCTAATCAGAAATAATTGAATTGGTGTCTTATGGTTAAAACCTGACTGTCCAAGACTACTCGAAACTATAATAAAAAAAAAAAATTAACAAACATAAGTTATTTACATTACAAGTTTAATGCAAAATAATAGTGATCAATGAGTTTAAAATTAAATAAGACAGAAAAACATATAAAGCTATAGGGAAAGTAGATTTTTTTTTTCATTATAATTTAAATATATTAATATAATAATTGCCTACTGACTACTGTACTATTGAAGATGGTGCAATATTTATAAAAAAAAAGATATCTTTCATAACGTTATCCCCAGTAGCACATATACTGACGGAAACATAGGAATTCAATGACGCTAATCAGGTAGAAAAACTTTTTATTGTTTCCTTCAAAGAATGGTACAGATTATAAAGATTAACAGTATGTACATAAAAATGAGTAATTAATTACATAAAAGCAAGATAGAGGCAACAATGGGCGGCCTTATCGTTAAATACCGATCTTTTCAAGGCAACTTTAGTATGAAGAATAACAATTTGATTTATGTAAATTGAAAATAAATTCAAACAACATTCATTGAGCAAAAAAAAAACCAATGCTTAGTTTAAGATTCCTATCATTGTCGTAATTGTGTTCAAGTGTCTGTGCTACTGACCAGTGGACGTGACATGAAAATTAAAAAAAGAAAGAAAGAGAGAAAAAAAGAATGGAAGAGAAAGAAAAAGAGAGAAAGAAAAAGGGAAAGAAAAAAGATCTTTATCAAGATATTCGTACATGAGTAGATCATTATCTGACGTACCTGGTATTTTATAGTAAATTCAGATGTATTTTAAATAAAGCGAGTAGGCCATGATAAATTTACTACTAAACCTTATATGGTATAATGAATTGTAATCCATCATAAATTACTCTTATCATACCCGAAACCTGATGAAGGTTCCATCTTGGGTCATTTGGTAATTTGGAGGTGCATGTAAATGGACGGTGTTAGCTTTTATAACATAATCATTCTTGTCAATGATAATATATGCTTTACACTTTTTATAGGCGCACATTGTGCACCGCCATCGAATGCCTGACTTTGTGGCGAGCTGCTTGCAGTACGTATGGCCGTTCAGTAATATAAACAGACGGCCACCTATGGTTTTGATATAATTCACTGAAAATAGAAACTTATTAGAAATATTCATTTCTGACGCTGCTACTTAAGCTTTGAGGGAATAATTATCTTATAGATGACCTTATTTTTTTATAATCAAAAGTTTTTTCATTCTATATTAAGAATAAACAATAACTATTGCAACAGAAGGGAAAGATCGAGAAATAACTACATTGTTAAAGAATATACTAGGTATCACGTCGTATACAGAGGTCAAAGATATGACCTAGAATAGAACTGACAGGAAAAGAATACATAAATTGCCCAACAAGAGAAAACTCTTAAATAGTGAAAAAACTCCTTCTTAATAAGTTAAAGCATTTTTCTTGAAAGACAAAAGTTTAACAAACATCAATCATAAGTTAAAAATAATAACTTCAATGACGTAATTTATATCTCTATATAATAACATATAAAATAAATATAATCAAACAATATCTCGTTATTATTTGAGGTCAAATAAATACAATACTTTACCCTATTTATTTCTGTTACAAATTTTTTCCTAAGCTTACAATGTAAATTTCATTGTCTTCAATTCTGGAGTTGCTAAATAAAAAAAAAAGTCAACCGTTTGTATATTCTAAAACAAATATAATATTTGAGAATCAATGAGAATTCATGTATGCGATGAAACAAATCGTAATCACACCTGTAGATAGAAGCAATGCATTATTCGTCATAAACCCTATTATAAATTATCCGAATAATCGAAATTTTTACCCATTTTGTACCAAAATTACCATTACCAAAATTGTACCCATTTTGCCTTTGTTTCTTCGGTTATTTTAAAATCAAGTTCTAGTTTTATTCAGTTCCGAAATTTCAAATTCATAGCGTATAGATGCTGTAGATTCTAAAGTGCAGTAAAAGATAAACGGTATTAAAAGGCATTTTATTTCTAAAACTTGTAATCAGCTGGAATCTGTTTCAGTCTTGTCACTTAATGGAAGCTTGTATGAATGAATGTTGTTGGATTTCACGACATAATTATTTTTGTCCAAAACCACAAAAGCTCTACAGTTTTCTGAAGATACCATGGTACACTACCAGCGTTCTCCTGCTTTTATTGAACATATCTTTACTTTTGTATAACCATTGTACATCTCATATACATGGCTGCTAGTTGTACGTATATAATCCCTTTTATTTTGTAGTATTTGAGAAAAATATGGCTAAATGACTATTGATTATGTTAAATTCATTAACTGTTTATGTTATTATTATACTAATGTTTTTTCATTTAATTCAGTTCAAGGTATTTAAGAGTATTGTATGATAGGTAAAAAAAGACATCTGATAATTTGCAATTTTATTATAATTTAATATAAAAAGTCTTAAAACATTTAGAGACAGTTTATAAAACTTTTTATATGTAGAAAGTCTACATATCTCAAAATTTTCACTTCAACGGGCAATTTTTCAAACATTTTCTTGCATAGTAATCTTGTGTAAAAGAATCAACTAAATACGTGTAGCCGTTCTGAAGTGATGCGTGATATATTTGAAAATTTGATTAATATTAACAGATTAAACTTTGATATTGTAACGTCATATTTTTAAACTCAGACATATCAATACAGCCATAGTTTACAGAAAACTATAAACTGAGTGACGTAAAATTTTTCAAATCAAGAAATTCGGGTTATGCTCCTCTGTTACTGAGGGTCGTTATTCTCCTACAGGAACACAATTTCTGTGATGATGTTCTCCCATCCGTGTGTATTATTTGGCGCTACGAGTATGAAGGGCATTGTGGAATCTAGCATCAAAACAAGTGTGGATCTGATCAATTTATCTGATAGGATAAATGACCTAGACAACTCGTGTCTCGGTCATTTATCGTCTACTCTGTCAGTCACCGACAGTCAGTTAAATACGAAGTTAATTTATAATCTCATATAATTATCAGTTTTAGGACAATAATAATAACTCGGAGGGTCGTGCGAATGCTCAGTATTTGATTTGATAATACGATTTTCACTGTCCAACACAAGATACGCCTTGCAAGCTCTGGATTGATTTTGGGTGCACTGCCACCGCGCTCCTGTTCTCATCTTGTAATGTTTTCCAAATGTAAACCCGTTGACCATTATAAACAAACGACCCTTATTCGTACGAATAAAGTTAACTGAAAAGATTAACTTTAATTAAATATATAATTTAAATAACCTTAACATAACTAGAGACATAGACATAGCTCCAATTATAGTAATAACTTACAATAACTAAATTTGGAGATTAAATACATTACAAAAATTTTATGAGATAACCAATGCGTACAGACTTATTAAAGTATGTTAGATTTTTTATTTACGAATGTGTTTATTCTTTACTTTTAGCACGAAATATATTTGCAGTTCCAAGTCAGCTTTTATAGTGGATTTAGACTTCAAATGTTCTGATAACTAAACCAGGACTAAAATGAATGTTTTGTAGTAGGATAAACGAGTCACGTGTATAATTTACTTATTTTTATTTATTACTCTATTAGAGAAACCTACAATTCCTAGAACATATAAATAATTTAGATAGCAACTACATAAATCAGTGAAGTTTCCACAACTGACAGATTAAATAAACGAAAACAGATGATAAATATGGACGTAGCAATTAATAATTGATTAGAATTATTTTGTTTAATTTCTCTACTATTAGTAAACATGTCAATGCCAACATTTCAAGATTGACTACTATTGTTATTAGTAATTGATAGTTTTCAATGAAAACCTGTAAATCAAACTGTTTGATAGGAAATCATTAAGCAAGTGAACAAGAGACCTTTAACAAATCTAGAATTTGAAATATCAACGATTCTTAAGAAGATACTACATAAAAAAAAAAAAACTATAAATTCCATGAACTATAAATGTACGATTACATTTCTTGCGCCAAATAGATACTGTCTTTATTTTTTCTTCTCTATCCTAAGGTTATATTGAAGAGATTGCTTTAGCGATAAAAGCGCCTTTTGTACTCCATAAGTGTAATTTATATTATTTACTTATATCTTTATATTATTTTTTAAGTAAATAAATAAAAAATGTTGAGGTACTTTGATCAGTTTATTAAAATATTAATTTTAATTATAATGTAATTAGTGTTAATATATGATACTGGTTTAATTTAAAATCTCGTATAACTATTATTTTTAGGGCAATAATGGTACTTCGGGGGGTCGTGGGAATGTTCAGTTATTGATTTTATAATACGATCACCACTGTCCAACACAATATACGCCTTGCAAGCTCTTGAATGGCTTTGTGTGCACTGCCACCGCATTCCTGTCCTTATCTTGTAATGTTTTCCAAATGTATACCCGTTTATCATTACGAACAAATGGCCCTTACTCGTATGAATAAAGTTAGCTGAAAAGACATACCACATAATCTAATAAGTACTAGTAATATTGTTGTCTTAATAGGAAAATTAATCAATTAACCAATAATTAACCAAACCAATGTGAAATTAAGCACTAAATAAATATTTCTTTCTCTCTAGTGTTAATTTATTTATTTATAGCAAATACAAATCACAGAACACAAATCAATACATTAATAAAATAAATATTACATAACACAGCATCATTTTATACTCCATTACATTTGTTATAATTACTAACTGCATTACATTTGTTATAATTATGAATGAAAAATTGTTATTCAGTAGTTTTATTTATTTAAATCTGACAGGTGATCCATTTTATATTCGTCTTTCCATCTCTCCCACAGATGTCTTATTGGTCCTCGACCATAGATAATCAAGATACACAACAACATTCACTATTATAAACATAAGGAGAATAGCAACTATAGATTTAAATTAATAAATTGATAGTTATATTAATTATAGCATTGCAAAGATTATATAAATATAATCTATTGGTGAATCCCAAAGGTATTTATTTATTTATATACCTTTAATCGAGGGTTAACCGTAAATATCTTACATGGGCAAAATTTTACTGGAGTCACGTAATATATTAGGTGATTCTGAATTGATTGAAACCTAATAGAAAGCATGGGCACCACAGAATATCAGCGCTGTAGCAATTAAATTGCTGCAGCACATGCCGAGTGGTGACCACGTTGGCAATAACAAATGTAAAGTTTTTTTTTTTAAATTAATAATTTATGTAACTTTTTTGTTGTTGGCAATAAATGTTTTCTTTCTAATTAAATTAAAAGAAGCACTTGGCTTTCATATTAATTTTTTTATGCAACTTAGAATGGCAAACAAGTTAACGGCCCACCTGATGGAAAGTGGTAACCGTCGCCTATAAACATGAGCAGTATCATGGGCATTGTTATGTCTATACTACACTGTTTCGGCCGTGATACCCCCAATGCGTTGCCATTCCTTAGGACTCAAGTGTTATTCCTCTGTACCCTGTAAATTCACTGCTATATCCCACGCTTCAAACTGAAACACAGCCATGCAAACATAACTGCTTCACGGTTGAAACACGAATGGGACAGAGGTGTCCAAGCAAACGATTTTTGTACAAAGTCTCCCTCTGGTATTTCCAATATATTGATGTAAATATTATTAACTCTTATAGCATTCAAAAGGAAGTTAGAAGTGATTTTCACTAGTATTTGAAGTCAGTAGGTATTGCTTATTAACTATACACTACTATGATGTTAATAATAATGGAACAGGTACATTTTTGACAATTTTTATATTATGTATATATCATTATAAGTAAAAAAAACACTTATTATTTATAATTAAAAAAAACAATTATTTAAATTTTATTATCTAACGTTTCATTTAAAAATAAAATTACTACATAGATAAGATCATACTAACAACATTAAAAATAAATTCGTACTTTTTTTTTATAATGGAACAAATATTATAATACATACATACATATCTGCCACGCCTGTCTCCCATAAGGGTAGGCAGAAACAATGGAACGCCAAATGCTTCGATTAAAACAAACCTGTTTCGCTTCTTCTACATGCATCAATATTTTCATACACGCTCGCCGGTTACGGGTACTTTTATTTTGGCCCTTCTTATAATAAAATAATAAACAAATATTATAATTATCTATTTTATTCGAATTTCATATTTTACTTCTTATTTAACTTCATATTTTAGACTTACTATCGTGGGCTTATTTAAAATAATAAAAGTATCAGTCCATACAAAATTAAGTTGAAGTACATAAATATTTAAATGAAGGTATTAAATATCCGTGTATTTTAATTAAATTACTCAGTCGGGATTTTTGAGAAATATGTATATTGCAAATTTAATGTTGTCGTACTATACCCAGCTTTGGAAGTAAGGAACAACTAAGGCTCTTCTTGGTAAATAAATGAAAAACAGCCAAAATCATAAATTAATTCGTATTCCCCTGTTTTCTCTTCAAATACTTTTGTTTTATTATATTATTATTAATACAAGAAGGTGTTTGGCTATGCCCCTATGTATAGGATTTTTTTCATGTTCATTAATATGTTTAGTGGATGTTTCATTACAGCCAGAAAAACTGATGAAATTTTATAATATTTGAAAATACTTATTATGATTGATAAGAAAAAAATCATCCTTTTTTTATAGAGATATGGCACGAATAAATACAAATTGCACGGTGAAAAAGTTTCACTCTAGTGCCATATCCACGGAGAAAACAGTTCCTATATAATACACACACACATATATACATATATATGTACTTGTTTTATAATTTTATTTATCTATATTCTGTTATTAATTACACAGCTACTATTATATATATATATATATATATATATATATATATATATATATATATATATATATATATATATATATATATATATATATATATATATGCTTTATATATATAGATATTTTCTACATTCGGTTTCTCAAGGTTGACTAAAAGAAATCCTTTCAATGGATAAGACCGTCTGTGTACATTTTCGTTATAATCTGATATTTATATAAAAAGCGAATGTACAAAAGCATATAAGTAAATAAATTTCTATCCTTATCCATTAATTGATCACATAAAATTACGCAAAATGGTTCTAATTATTATATTATCTCTGAGGCTTAGACAGCTTAATCAATCAGTATATCTTATGTTCTTCAATTAATTACATGTATTGTTTGGGTTGCAGAAAGACATGAGCATTTTTTGTTTCCATCACGCGAACGAAGTCACAGGTAAAAACTAGTCATAGAGAAACCATTACTTATCCTTGGATCTCAAGAGAACATAAGTCCCATCGGCGTTCTGATGGTACTTGGGAGGCGGGTGCGTATGCACATCGTGGCCTTTGACAATTATTTTCGAATCCTTGCTCACAAGCATATACGCGGTACACTGGCGCGACGAAGTCCTTGTACAGTTCCATCGCGTCCCGTGTATCTGTGTACCCAGTTTGTAATACACGTGTTGGTTGAACATCAACAAATGTTTGCCATTAGTTGTGACTATCATAGTTGCTGTAAAAAAGTACGTTCGTTAGATATTTGTTTTACAATACTTACGTTCCATTTCGAATCCAGTTTCTAAATTTAAATTTAAAAATTACAATAATAAAAAATAAATATAACATTTTTTTTCTATTTTATGACGGGAAGTAAAGAAAGACGTTTGTTAGGTACATTGCATTTTACTTGGAACTAGAGATGGGCAATCCACCTGGGTGGGTTTAAAGTCTGGTGGGTAAAAACCGGGTGTTTTGGGTTTATTGGGTTTAAACCCCATAAACACCCAAATTTTTGGGTGTTTATGATTTTGTACTTCATCATCGTCATCTCAGCCGCAAGACGTCCACTATACTGGACATAGACAATATTATTATGCAGCCTACAGAATAAAAAACTTTTAATTTGATTTTGAGTTTATTAAGAAAGAGATGAAAGTAAAATGTAAAACTACAGTCAATCACTGTCAGATTCAGAGTTATTACAAGCGATGAATTGTATAGGTTCGATAGGCTCTATTTCGTCTAAACTGTTATGTTCATTTACTTGCTCAATGAAAGCTTCTAAGGTATTTTTTCATTAAACTGAATGTCCTCGCATTCAGCTTTATGTTTAAGATTCCAGTTATAACAAATGAATGAAATTTTTTCAGTTCTTTCAGTTGTAAGTCGATTTCTTTTGTTATTATGTATGTAGCCTTGGATACTAAAGGAACGCTCAGTGGCTGCCGAAGTACAGGGAGCTGATAGAATACGAATCGCTACTTTGCTTAACTCAGTGGAACCACAAATACCTTTCCACCATATTAGGGGCTCAATGCTATCTAATGAGCTCCATACAAATCCTCTGGCCCAAAAGTTTTCTTTAGCTTTATAACACGCCAAATCTGCCATTACATTTGACAAACTTAAGTGTTGGCTTAAATTGTAGATAAATCCATACCCTTAAGTTCTTCCTCTTGAGTAAGTTCGATAGAGTCCTGGGGTCTAGAATATATGCTGCAAAATGTATTGGCCTCATTGCCATATTGCATCTTGAAGATACTGATGTTAGAATCTGCTGTTTGCTTTCTTCGCTCAATGTCGAAATCTCATTTAATGCAAAACGTATCTTAGCTTGTACATCTCTAAATGTAATGTATGTGCGATGCAAACGATTCTGGTCGCTCTCTAAGTAAAATATGCTTTCAGTGACTGGTTCCAAAATACTTATACATTCCCCTGTCTTCGTCCAGAAATCATCACTTAGAATTAAATCTTTAATATCTCTTGAAATTACCACATCTTCTCTAACTGTTAATATTTGCAAAGCTATCTTATTTGCTTTCAAACTTTTTAACGAAGTAACATGACTTCCCCATCTTGTAGCACAAGGCAATTTTAGTGTTTGTGTAGAATCTTCACCCTGCCTTGATTTTATCAACAAGGAACTTAATCGTTGACTCCTTTTAACAGTTTTTATTATATTTATGGCTTGCATAATAAACACAGTTACTTCTTGTATCTTTACAATATCTTGGCACAACAAGTTAAGGATATGTGCACAGCAACCGAGAGGAACAACATGTGGATATTTGAGTTTTGTTAATTCGAATGCCTTTTGTATATTTCTAGCGTTATCGCCAATAAGTACAAGAAACTTATTTGCTCCATACACTTTCATTACTTTTTCAACTTCTTGGCTAAGGTATTCACTAGTGTGAGGATTACTTTCTGTATTCAAACTTTTAACGTATGCAGGTTGAGGTTTTGATATAAGAAAGTTTATTATTCCTTCATTTCTTAAATTAGACCAGCCATCGCACTGAAGGTGTAAGTAACTACAAGCATTTAGTTCCTCATTTAACTCAAAACGCATTTCTCTATATATTTTATCTAAGTATTTTGTCGCTAAAGCTTTACGTGAAGGTATTTTAAATTTTGGTTGCAATTTTTCGAAAAATTGTATCCATAAAGGAT